AACGGGCAGATATTTGGCTTTTTTCGCAGTTACCTGGTCTCTTGTTTTCTTTTATTGAAAGACAATCGTTGTCTTGTTCTTATTTGTTTAGTATGAACAATCAACTAGAAAGTAATGTATTGTACCTCTGTCAAGATATTTAAGATAAAACATAATCGTTGAAAGACAACATCAAAAGTTACTGACTTTATTCACATTAGTTTAGTAAGTAGTAACTAAGTTCATACTGTCTTGCCTTTATGCTAATCTGATTCTGTAGAATACAATATAATGCGATCAGTGACCATATCTGCGAATCATTTACCAATTACATAGAACTTGGTTTTAATAAACCACTAGAGATATTACTCAGCTGTCCTAATTGGAAGTAAGTTATACGAGATTGAAATATCAGTCAGCCAAAGGCAACGAAGAACATGACACATATGTGGATCAGTTCAAAATACCACTGCATATCACTACAGCAAGATGAAACTATCAGGATAAATCCTATAAAAGTAAATTTAGCAAGTGTCTATGATAGTAGAAAAGTTTACTTACTCCTGTCATCCCTCGTGATGGAGCATAAGCCACCCACTAGCACTCTCTATCCAAACCTGTCCTGGGCAATACTTTACAGCTCCTTCCAGTTGCTATCCATTTTTTTCATGTCTGCTGTTTCTCGGCACAGTGTGTTTTTCGCACTTTTTCTTTTCCTCTTCGCTTCACGATTCCGAGTTAGGGCTGGCCTCGTGATGCAGTTTGGTAATTTCCTCAATGTATGTCCTATCCATTTCCATCGACTTTTCCTAATTTCCTTCTCAGATAGGAGCTGGTTTGTCCTCTCCCACAGTAGGCTGATGGTGATGGTATCCTCCCAACGGATATTGAGTATCTTGTATAGACAACTGTTTATAAATAATTGTACCTTCTTGATTGCTGTGGTAGTTCACGTTTCAGCTCCGTACAGTAGGACTGACTATCTTGACGTTTGTATTGAAGATTGTAGCTTTGATATTGGTTGACAGACAGTTGTTTTCAGTTCCATATATTATTCAATTGTAAGGATGCTGCCCTTGCTTTGACAGAGATTGACAATATGATTTAAAAGAAATGAATGAATTTGCGGAATAAAAAGTATAATATACATTTGAAGTACAAGATCTTAAGGAAGACGGAGTAAATGTATCGACGCCATTGTGGACTGTTCTGATCAGTGTATCTTACAATTAGTTACAATAATTGCAGTGACCTAACTATCTAATATGCACCTACCAGCATGGTTTAGTTTAATAGTCAATGATTTGATAAGTTGATGTCACAGCCTGGCTTAACTATCCCTAGTTTTCTTCCAACCTAATTGTGGAATGGTCAAATACTCACTTCGAGATAGAAGGTGGTCGGACATGTACAATACATGTCTAAACTACTTCGGTTTATAAAAACTCATTGCCTCACCGAACGTCTTGCGATCTTCATCTAGTACCCTGCTTGTAATCTCGTTATTGCTCATTTAATACTCCCTACATATATGAAAGTTGAGTACTCTACCACAATGCTTACAACACTACGTTATTAGTGTAGTGTAACTGATCCGATATTGACTTGTAGTTTACATGATATCAGATTATTAGGAAACACTAGACATAGATTCTCTGATAGTTGGTATTCGTTAGCAAGATTGATTTTTACTCTATTTAAGGGACTGATTTTACATGTGAATGAAGCACTGCTAATCAACCTGTTAAAGTGTGTACAAACCAATCAATAAAGCACGAAATTATACAATATGAAACAGAAACTTTGTTGTTAACTAGCAGTAATTCATTTCATTATTTGATGCACATTATACAAGCATGAAGAATGTTGTATTACTGTATTGTATTGATGAATTCAACCATTACATAGTAATGATGAAATTAATAAACAAAATTCAATTCGTTTAATATAGTTTTGTTTATTATTCGGTTGAAAATGGATTTCAATTTAATCTGCCTTGTGTTTCATCGTTATTTTGTAAAATATTGTTCCTGTTTTCATTGATTTTGTTTCTGGATTCATGTAGCTCACTCTATCCCTTCACCATTAATCTGTCTGAGTTATGTTTATATATATACATATATATCATACGTGTGTATGAACATGGTTAGATAGGTTTGCTCAAACGCGTTTCTTCAAGTCTACAAAACATGTAGTCAATCTTGTTTGTATGTTGTTATCACGGTTTTTTCCTTCTTCTTCTTCTTCTTCTTCTTCTTCTTCTTCTTCGGCAACGTATTACAGAAAGCTAAAGCACGAATTAGAATTTTTAGAAATAAAAAAAACAACTAATAAACCCACGTTACTAAATATGATTAATAAAATTGATGAGAGTGAATTATCTCTCATTCTCCTCTCATATTTGCCTGTCCGTATGCCTTCTATATTCTTCTTCTTCTTCTATGATAGACATTCGGTGATGATAATTTAATTACTCTCATTATAAGTCATGGAGGATATGTTAGATGAATGATGTTTGTAAGCTTTTTCCCGTAAAAAGATTTGGATTCAATGTAACGCATCAACTGTTACTATTTATCATAACATGTGACATTTACTACTGGCTAATATGAACGAGTAGTAGTATTTCATGTTTAAACTATGATTATTCAAACATTGATTTATTGGTTTTCTGTAATTTATCGCTTGGATTAACAACATCGCTCATCAACATTCAGTAGTTCCATGGACTGATACTTGATGTTTGTTTGTTCGTAATTTTCTTACTATTTATTCCTACTCTAACATTCTTTGTCAGGGTGTGTAATGGTTGAGCACAGGTAACGTTCATGACCATACTAGTCAATGAAGATACTCAGTTTCACCAACTGATTCTTCATATGTAACTAGTACCGCATTGGTCACTCGGCGATTTGAACATACTTGAGCAATGCTTCTAAAGCATCTATGATCTACTTTCGTAAACCATGTTTAACAGCCCTAAAATACAACAGACCAGACTGTTGTACAAGACAATCGTTCCTTGGTTTGTACGCGGACATCTCACCTACACTACAGATCAACAACTGAATCTATTGATATGAGATCGATCTCTGAAAATCTACTCAAACTAAGTATTATCTTGAAATGAATGGAAGAAGTTAGTTGGCCTTATCTGTAATCTTATAGTTTAAGGTTCGTTTGAGTATCCTGACGCTATACATTGATATTTTCTCTATTAAAGTTTACTCCGTTGACAACATCACAGTTTACAGTAAGTTAAGTTTTAAGCATTTTAAATAGATCATAACACATCACTCTATGATCTGTACTAGAAATCATAGTGAAGTTTTCAAACTCGCATCACCCAGTTCTGAGAGTTACATTTTCTGCAATATTTAGCCCGTTACAATAAGAAGTCGATTTCAGTTTTCTCTTAACACTTTTCTGACAAGTTTATTTATTACTGTTGAACATTAACTGCTAATATAGGGGAATTAGATCTTTTCGGAATTTCAATTCAAAATTTCATAACCACGTTTCTTTTTACTAGTTGCCTCCTATAAAAACAAAAACAACTAGACCAATGCTGTTCATTTCTTTCTGAATTGTTCAGTTAGATAATTCCATTGAAAAGTAGTTGTATTGTAGTCGCTTTTTGTGCTTGCACAGCTTTAAGCTTGTTTTCATGTGACCAGTGGAGTAAAACCGTGTGTGTTGTGAGGCAGTTACTCACTGAAGATAATGATGGACGGTCGTGCAACATCGTGGATTGGTTGAAGTTAGACATAAACACCGTTGGATGCCGGTTCAGTGGTCTAGAGGTTAAGCGTTCGTGCGCGAGACCGAAGGTCCTGGATTCGATTTATGCGTGTGGGATCGTGGATGCACACTGCTGAAGAGTCCCATACTAGTATGAAACGTCCGTCCAGTACTTGCAGGTTTTCTAAGGTGGTCTAGCTTAAATCGATTCATGAATTCAACCGTTAAATTACTACAATTACCCCAAACCCTCATTCTGACAACAAATGTTTTTTTTATGTCGAAATTTTCTTTGTCAAAACTAACTTCAAGCAGAATATTTATTCTTAATTATCATCCAGTTGATCGTTGATCTGAATCGTATGATGGAATGTGGAATTCCCGGTTTCGTCTCGCATACTGATCGTAGTCAAAAATTAATTGGAGATGTTTGTTGGACTTCTTTTGTGGAGTTAGGCTTTTCAATTTCATTGATGTTATTAATTCCCCATCTCCAGTTTTATTAATTCTCTCACTGTTGTTTGTGAGGTTTGGTGAATTGTACTGATATAAATTTGTATCGTAACCCCTAAATTTATGTAAGTAATACATTTGTTAGGAAACGGGTACTAGGTAAAAATGGCAAATCAATTGATAAAGTAGTGAAAATCCATCAGTTGAGATGACTGGGACACGTGTTACGTATGCCCAACCACAGACTGCCTCGAAGTGCGATGCTTTATGGTGTAGGAGTAGGTTGGAAGAAAGCTAGGGACGGCCAGACCAAAATATGGCACAAATTCATGAAGTCACTGACAAGTGAACTGAGTAATGTTGGTAAGTGTAGATTACCTGGTTGGGATCCGCGAGTCGATAGCGATAGTAACCGATGGTTAGAGACATTGAATGACATGGCTCAAAATTGTTTACAATGGCTCAGATGCATCCACTCTGTGTTCTTCGAAGTTCTAATCTTCTGAATTCTTCATGTCCCCTTCTTTTTTCTCTTTCCAAATGTACTTCACTGGATTATACTCTTTGAATAACATCTTCAAATCCTAATATTTCTGATTACTGCTCACGCTCTTACTACCTCTACCACAATGGGATTTGAATCGATAACTGCATGTGTGTGATAATATGGTATGGCAACTCGAATTGATGTACGTGTGACGAAGTTCTACGTTGTTACTGACTGACTGAAATGTATGTATTTCAGTCTAATATTTCAGTAAATTCGTTGTAAAATTGAGACACATATATTTCTAATATAAATATTCATTATATTTAATGTTTTACAGAAGATCGTAAACTATTCATTGGTATGTTAGGAAAGCATCAAACCGAGAAAGATATTCAAAATTTATTTTCACCTTATGGGCTCATTGAAGAATGTACAATTTTACGTGATCAAAATGGATTGAGTAAAGGTATGTTTTGTTCAAATTGTTGAATCATACAACAACTTTATGCTTTGATATAGATTTAAACAAAACAAGAATAACACTGTTTACAGAATAAAGTGAATTCGTCTTTATTCATGGATTCTCATCAGTTGCACACAGCTTGAATTTACAAGAGATAAAATAATTATAAACAAATGTTCAATGTGTTTTAGTTAGTTAAGCTGAGATGGATATCCGAAACATAACCAAGAATTATACTAATAGAAAGAGGCCACACAAAATGTAATTCAACGTGGTTAAGGTTGATGAGTACTTATGTTCAAAAATTAGTAATACAGATTAACAGGGTGTGAGATTATTAATATGGGGGCGGGAGTTGTAAACGTGATAAAATCAATAAAGGGTTGCATAACTGACCGAGATTATTCGAACTAAAATCAAATTGATCTGAGTGTAAAAAAGATTATGTGGGATACAAGTATCATCTGATTATAATGGTGAAGTAAGACTTCTCTGTGTACGTAGATCAGGTCGGCAATGTTTGATAGGGATTGTGTTTGGTAAATGTAGTGAAATTAATGTTATAGAAATATTTCTGGCATCTTCTGGAACCACCGGGTAAATAACAGTGAGGTTAGACGCAGGATATTAGGGAAAGATGGTAAATCAGTTGATGAGGTTGTGAATCTTCATCGACTGAGATGGTTGGGCCACGTGTTACGTATACCTGAACACCGATTACCATGACGCACGATGCTGACTAGTGTTGGGGATGATTGGAAGAAAGTTAGAGGCGGCAAAACCAAAACATGGCATCAGTGCTTGAAGTCATTAACTTCTGTTCTGAGCCATTTTGGTAGATGCACACTACTTGACTGTGGTCCGCGTGACTATCGTAACCAATGGTTGGAGACTCTTGATGACATGGCTCGGAATCGATTACAATTCCGTGGGTGTATACACTCTTTATCTTCCCTTAAACTATGAGATTAAAATCGTTTCATATCTTTCTTTCTACCAACTAACTCTTTCTTCTTGTGCTATATCCTTATACACAGTCTTTCTTTTATATATTACCACCATTGAAGTAACTACTTCTATGAATCCGGTGTTCATCTTGTTGTGCTAATGCGGTATGGAAACTTGTACCGATGCATATATGTGCGTGGTCCTACGTTGTAGTTGAGCGACTGACGATAACCCACATGAATTCCCACGTTCTCAAAACTCCAATCAAAACACCAGAATGCTCATGACTATTTTTATTATTCATAAGTTATGTCACCGCACGTATAATTAGGAAATTTTCAATTGAAGTTTAACTAACCGATTTTTAGTTTATTAGCTGTCAAAGATATATCAATAACTAATATTCATTTATTCATTTAAGCACATAAACATTGATACAAAAGGGCAATAGAATATATATGTGCAACGTAAACCTTTCGATATGTGTGACGGATGGAGTACTGTTCAGGTGCCCAAACTGAATGAAGTGGTTTTCTTGAAGAGCCATTCGCCAAGCCTTCGATCATTAGATTGTGCAGTCTGATGTTAGAGTGAGTGAGTGAGTGAGTGAGTGAGTGAGTGAGTGAGTGAGTGAGTGAGTGAGTGAGTGAGTGAGTGAGTGAGTGAGTGAGTGAGTGAGTGAGTGAGTGAGTGAGTGAGTGAGTGAGTGAGTGAGTGAGTGAGTGAGTGAGTGAGTGAGTGAGTGAGTGAGTGAGTGAGTGAGTGAGTGAGTGAGTGAGTGAGTGAGTGAGTGAGTGAGTGAGTGAGTGAGTGAGTGAGTGAGTGAGTGAGTGAGTGAGTGAGTGAGTGAGTGAGTGAGTGAGTGAGTGAGTGAGTGAGTGAGTGAGTGAGTGAGTGAGTGAGTGAGTGAGTGAGTGAGTGAGTGAGTGAGTGAGTGAGTGAGTGAGTGAGTGAGTGAGTGAGTGAGTGAGTGAGTGAGTGAGTGAGTGAGTGAGTGAGTGAGTGAGTGAGTGAGTGAGTGAGTGAGTGAGTGAGTGAGTGAGTGAGTGAGTGAGTGAGTGAGTGAGTGAGTGAGTGAGTGAGTGAGTGAGTGAGTGAGTGAGTGAGTGAGTGAGTGAGTGAGTGAGTGAGTGAGTGAGTGAGTGAGTGAGTGAGTGAGAGTGGACTCTTACCACCCTCAGCTGCATTTGAGGGCATTTAACGCAACAATAACTAATCTGTCACAAATTAGCCTACGATCAGATATATCATACAACTTATGTTATACATAGATACTTATTCGAAAATTCTGACAACTAATCGACCAATAACAAAATGGACTACGTACCAAAAATTGCATATTTCCCCGTTTTTTTTTTCCTCACTTCATCTTAACAAAGATAAAGAAAAACAACCAAAGCTATATATGTATTTATATACTGGATAAACTAATGATTGTTTGATTGTTGTTATCACACATATGTTTTGTTAACAAGAGGGAAAAAAAGTGGCAGTCATTCAATTTCACCTAGGTTATTAGACTAAATCTATAGAAATACCTCTGTATTGTTTTTGTTTTTCTAACAGTTCTAATTACACACATATATCTATAACTGTTCGATTGTATCACTTTTCAATTGTCTCATCATTCGGTTATTTGATAATTCTTTTTTCTTTTTCATTTATGTTACTGTCGTTATTTTGATTGTACAGGTTGTGCTTTTGTGAAATACTCCTCGAGTACAGAAGCGGCAAACGCTATCGATCATATGCATAATAGTCAAACAATGCAAGTACGTTTTGTGTATGGATTTTGTTTTTTTGCCATTCCATTCTATAATGAATCAGTCGGAGTGATATATTTTTATGCATGATCATTAATATGACATGATGTAATTGAAATTGGATGCTCCGTTTTAGTGCATTGTATGATTATGAATCCTTTTTGTGTTTTATTGGAGATTTAACAGCGTGTTGTTTCTTGTTTGTCCTCATAATAATGGTCTGTTGTCAGATTTAAATCTCTTTGGAACGTAATGGTGGATATGGTATTATGATAGAATCAGTATAGTGTTGTAGATTCCTTCCTCCTATGTGAGGTTTATCACCCAGTTGACTAAATTTTCAGAAAATCATTCCATTTAATTCAGTTTAAGCAGTTCAATATCGTTATGACTAGCTCTCTCATGCACACACACACACACACAAACAGAGGCCCCTATTTGGTAGAGGACTTACAGAATACATAACTGGGAACGATGTTTTTTTATAAAATTTCAGTCAATCAATTATACACGCTTGATCGCAAGTCAAACTCCACCTGTAGTCCTTCTACAGTTATTGCAGGTTCCAGACCCGCACAAAGGAGGAGGGTTGGACACGGGTTTGGCAACCCCGTTGGTATTGTTTTGGTTAACCACATTATATCAGTACAGTGATATGGAATTGAGAAGGCATGTCAAATAAATGACAGTTTTATTGGTAGTAGAAAATATTAGACATATATGATATGCATAGAAAGCGAAGGGTAAATTCGTGGAATAGCAATGTCCATTATAATTTTGATATTTAAGATCTAGGAAAAAAACAGCCTGGTGATAGACGGCGATGAATGCAATATATTCATAAATCTTGAAATTAAACTACACGTTTACCTCATCTACCCTTGATTTTCTCAACTTAAGGGCAAATTTGATCTGGTATCTTAGTTACTACCGTTGCCACTTTAATACAAACAAATGTGACGTATTAATCAAATACATTTCCTGTTCCATGAGTCAATTTTTTTTGTAGAGTTAACAACAACTACTACTACTAGGAAACCATAATTGCAAAATATGGTTTATAGAATGTTCAACCCAATTTTGATGTCTCAAATTAAATATCCAGGATAAGTGATTACGTATGTTTGTCTTGGTGTGAGAAACTGTAACTTTGGTTACATCATAAAACGTGTTGAAAAAAAAAATCAGTCTCAATGATTTGATTATTCATAAACGAATCGTTCACAGTATTACGGTCTAAATGAAGTTCAAAATAATCGACATCATGTGTATGTATATTGAAATGTACTATAGGTTACTGGTCATCAGATTTCTGACCTAGTCTGGCGTTGCGTGTATATGTGTGTGTGTGTGTTAGCAGTTACTTATCAATAAAATTGATATATTTTTTTCATCAAATCATGTCATCGATAGTATTATACTTAGTATCATTCAGATTTACTGACCTCAACTGTTATATTGATTAGCACTCGGCGTATGGATTTAGCGTGTTTGTTTAAGGATACAATCAGTTTATCTAAAGTAATCGTACGGAACGTGCTCTCTCCGAAACGTGAATATCGAATATTTACGGAATTCTAGCCCATAAATTGACGGTTGTTCAACTCACCTTATTTTTTGTTTCTTTACAAAAAGAGATACCAATCGACAATAAGGAGGGCTGTCGATAAGATTATTAAGCTTTTTTTCCTATTAAAGATTGACTTAATTATCACTATTATCTCGATAATGTTTCAATATATACCTTATATTATCATGATTTTATTTTGTTCAATTCTTTTTTCTGCGGTTTTTTCAGGGTGCTTCTTCTCCGTTGGTTGTAAAATTTGCCGATACAGAGAAAGAACGTCAAGTTCGCAGACAGCATCAGCAGAGCACGACAAACGGTTCTTGTTCTCCGGCGTCAGGGCATTCTACCAGTACAGGGATGACTAATGGTCACTTAGATGGGTCTCATACATCAATGCAACAATATAATCAACAACAATCTCTTCGAACTCCAATTACGAATATCACGGAGGCGTCTAATATGACGGTAGCGGCGGCCGCTGCAGCAGCCGCGGCTAATGCATTTCAACAATCACTTGTTGCTTCTAATGTTACACCAGGGTATTTACAATTTCCGGTAAGCTATAGATTCTTTATAAATATCATTGTTACTTTCACAGCTAGATCAGAATTTTTAAAAAAAAAATATCGGCTTTTAATGATGAGAAAGTTTTGATGGTAGATTATGAGCTTGAAAATAAAAGTTTTACCGTCTAACTTCCGGGTGAAATTCCACCCAATCATTAGTGAGGTTCGATTTGTGCTTATATGTGTTCTTGGAGTACATGTGTCCGATCTTTACATTTTAGGTCTGAATGTAATACATAATTGTTTAACTGGGATTTAATACTAACAGGAATGAAGACCATCTTATCATCCCAAAACGACATCTCTGTTTGTTTGTGTGCTGTGGAATGCATAGATTGAATTTATGTTTCAGGTGTTCATTGAGTGTATACTTGTCAAAAATGACTGGTTTCTACCTAACTGTTAGATCTGTATATCTTGAGTTCCAATCCCTGGTAGGATAAGTGGCGATAAATTGACACTATTTAGGTATTCTTTAGTGGGACAATACAGCTGACTTCCTGGTCGAATAGTTATTTAGGCTTGTTAATTTTTAATTCATCTTGATTTTTGCAATAATTACTGGTGAGCCTAATATAGTTCGCTCACTGACTGCAGGCATATGTAGTCATCTTCCGCACTTGTATCAGATTCTCCAGCTAAAACTGAAAAGTATTTTGAACTTAAAAAACTGCTACATTAAAACCGACTATCAACAAACCATCGTTGTACAATTTGTATGTGATCTATGCAATGAGTATAATGATTTTGTTTGAATTTCTTTCGAAACTAGCTAACTCAAATAATCAATGTAGTTCCATAGTTATCCATTTAAACACATAAACACTGATACAAAACGGCACTAGAATATATATGCACAGCATAAACCTTTCGATATGTGTGACGGATGGAGTACTGTTCAGGTGCCCAAACTGAATGAAGTGGTTTTCTTGAAGAGTCATTGGTCAAGCCTTCGACCTAAAGGTGTAATCCACAAGTCAGTGGATCAACATTAGGTTGTGTAGTTTCATGTTAGCGTTTGATGAAGAAAGGGTTCATACACCATATGTTGCTTTAAGATATTGGAGCCGATGTGCACTATTGGTTTTGAATTTTGGAGTTTTCCATCTCCTGTAGATGGATCGTCCGTACCCACGAACGAGGATGAAGCACTGTACATTCACTTTTCGTCCTCAATTTGATAAACGACATCCATGCATCGGGAAGTGAATGATTAGGAGTTCTCTGACAGTGACTGTACATGCGTGGCCATAAGAGAGCATTTCGAGAGGGAGAGCTAATCTCGACCGTACCAGTGCATTCGGGGCTGTCAGTGGCTGTATACGCGTGGTCATATAAGAGCATTTCGAGATATATATAGAGAGTGGCATCTCCCCACCCTCAGCTGCACAAGGGAATCTGAAAGCAATAAAGGTAACTTCCATAATGAAGATGTTTTGTGTCCCATGTTAAAGTTCATTTGAGACATATTCTCATCGGTATATTGTTTTCGTTTATGTAGCCCGGTTTATTTCCTACCGCTTCATCAAATGCTAGCCCTGTTCCTAATGGTTTCCAAAGTTCAGTTACTCAATTTACTCAACAGCAACAACAACAACAGAGTCAAGTAGCTCAGCAAGGATCAGCTTCGGCTTATTTTAACCCTATGGCAGCTTTCATGGCGGCTGCAGCTGCAATGCAATATGCCAATCCACAATTATCAACTGGTATAGCAGAAAATCCATCAAGTCGTTCAACATCTATTCCATTACAATTGAACACGATTGTTAGTCATCCTACAATCGGTGTTGCTCATCAGCATAATCCACTCACAGGAACTAATCATTCAGTACCGAATGCTTCAGCGTTAGCATCATTGGCTGCCGGTTGTCCAGCCACTACTTTACAAAATAATACACTTCCTCAATGTGAGTTAGTTGTGGTTTTTCTTTTGATTTCAAAAACGATATATGACACTTAATTTTGTGTATCAACCTGATAAATGACATTTAAATCTGGATGCTTTAGACAGCTATTAGCTGTCAGATTCACTATTAAAGTATTTCCAGTGTTTTAATTTTTATTTAAATCGTGGGAATAATCATGATATTTGAGCTACTTACCAATTTTGTGTTTCACATTTGGCTTTATTCTTCATTGTTAAATGAATAAATCCTATTCTTTTTTTGTTTTCCTTCAAAAAGTAGCTTCATTGTTCCCTTTGACAGATGTCGCTCTATTATCTCCAGCCGCTTTAGCTGCTCTTACTCAAGTTGGCGCGGGTGCAGTTAATGGAGGTTTATTAACTGAAGCTGGAGTTTCCGGTAATAACGAATTTAACAATGCGTTTGGTACTGGTTTATTAGTTTCTGCTTCACCATCCACAATATCACCGCCGAGTTTCGCCAGCATAGGTAATGGTACTACTCAAGGTCAACAACCAGTTTCTATCTCTTCATCAACTGGTAGTGTTTTACCAAATGTTTCTCTTGGTGCAACTGCTAATATCTTGGTCTCATCTCCAGGAATGGTTACTCCGGTTGCTTCTACACCTCCTACCGTTAGTCCGGCTATTTTACCGTCACCAATAACAAATGAGCCTGTAGGTTTGTATGCAGCAGCTGTCGCTTTACAGAATTCAACTGCAGTAGGTCATACAAATGCGAACGGATTACAATTTCCTCAATTACATCCATCGTTTGCAGCAGCTGCCGCCGCCGCTGCCCAGTCAATGACACCATCTCCAGTGAACACTGCACTGAATTCGTATTTCACGGAAAATGCAGCTTTACAAGCGGCGGCGTTAGCTGCCGCTGCAGCCGGTTAGTTTCTATGCTCTTTTACTTACATTGGTCACATGCTTTATGAATACCATTAATACAGTTATTGTATAAATACGGTGGTTTGTATTATCATTATTATTATTGCTAAATTGACTGGATATTGGTTCGAAGTCATTTCCTATAATTCAGTTTGGGTTACTATGATTACAGCTTGGTTACAAAACATTTGGATGACCACATATTTGACTTTTGTGAATTCGTATTTCTTCTTCTGTATGAATTGTGCTTATTTTTGTTTTGTTTTATTGTTATGAATATAGAAAAGTTTTAAGGATTGATGAAGGGATTTCTCAATCGTTAAAATCAATGAATAGAATGTTAATCGATAGACACTAAGCAATAATACACTATCTGACCAGCTGATTACTATTCACGAAATCATATGTTATTGACTAGTACTTCTCAACTGATTAAAAATTAAAGAGAAGGCCATTAGGCAGAAGAACAAAGTTTATTATGTAATGAGATTGCATATTTATATAACAAAACATAAACCCAAAATAAACATGATCAACTATTCATAGGCGATTGGAGGAAATCAGCTTGTAGTTCATTCACTTTTCAGTCAAATCTAATTGTTATACTCAAACCTTAGATATGGTAACATGTATGTATTGTTTGTGTTATATGTGTTCACACATACAACATATTGAATTTCCTGGTTTCATTGACATATCCAGCTTAATAATTACGAAATTCGGTCTTTGACAACTATTAAATCAGTCATAGTTTCGAACTCTCTTCCATCTAAATATAGTTTAGGCAGCTGAATATGGTATTACCATTATGTGTCACAGTAAACCAGTCCAACTCAGAAACTTGACCATATTACACGTTTACATTGGTCAATTGATTGGATCGTTACTATTTTGATTTAAGTTGCACTTATGTACTTTCTGTACAACATTACATTGCATTGAACAATAGAAAAGGTGAACATTTGTTGTTGTATCGTTTTTTTCTTTTTTATAAAAGAAGAAACTAAAATTGTTGAATATACGAGTTGTTAGGTTTATGTGTAACTTTTCTCGACATGGAGGCACCAAACAGATATGCGCCACATAAATCATTCGATTTATGTGAGGGGTTGGGGTACTGCCCGGGTGCCCAAACCAAAGCAGGATTTGCCAACTTACAATTATTGCCACTTATTTATTTTCTCCTCTATATAATTTAAGTGTTTCATTGGAAACTGTTGTTACATTTGAACAATCACTAAGAAACACATGGAGTTCAATGTCCAGTTAACGACAATGTTTTGTTCACGTATTTTAAACTTAACCATTTAGTCTTACAGATTCATATCATTTTAACCTTTGTATATGTAAAGATTTATGGTTTAAAGGTGTTTGTGTGTGCCAGCTTAAGAACCTGCCTCGTTTTTGTTACTTACTAAGTGTTACGTGAACATGAAAATGTAGTAGTTGATTACTTTTTGATTTTACTGATTTTTGTTTTATTGTTTTTGCTTTGTTACAGCGTCTGGTCAGTCGTTTACTAATGATCCTATCGTTCATCAACTCTATGCTGGTCTTCAAGCCTACGGGTTAGGTTAGTTTAGTTTATAACAAATTTTCTACTATAATTAAATGTGGATATCATTCGAGTTTGTTGTTAAGCATATCCAATTGTTTTAACTCATGTTTTTCTAATGTCTTTAATGCTGATTGAGTTCTATTAGTCGATTTGCATCATTTTCTTGAAAATTATTGATGAGCATCAACTAGCGGGAATCTTAAGTTCAATAGTGTTTCCTTGATAAATACATCTAATGATCTGATATCAAAACATGTTCACTTTCTTTTAAAAGTCATTTAGTTTAGTAGCCACGTTGTAACTTGATCAATAGAATTCTATGAGTACTACAAATGACTTGACAAACATTATATTGACTACCAATCAGTGATCTGTGGAGTCAGATCAATTGGATTCGAATCTATCAGGATAGAATCATTTCCATCAAGATTTCTCGTACGCCTTGTTGGTGAATGCTAACTAGGACGAAGTCTATGTTTTAGGGTCTGCTGTTTATTTTCTCCAACCACCCTAAATGGATAAAATATTTTGTTCTGTTTCTTTACTTGTGTATTTGATTGAGGAATATTCTGTATTCTGTATTCTTCACTGAACATGGTCATTAATAATAGAGAATATTTAGAGGTTGCTAGTAATTCGATCGTAAGTGTCTTCAGTGCATTGCTCATATATTTTAAGATCACTTATTTAGATATCCACTGGTAAGGCATAGTGTATTTGGTAAATATGGTAAATCTATTGATAAGGTAGTGAGTCTCCATCAAGTCAGGTGGTTTGAACATGCGTCATGTATTCCTAACCATCGTCTACCTCGATGGGCCATGTCTGGTGTAGGAGTAGGTTGAACGAAAGCTGAAAGTCGCCAGATCAAAAGAAACATCAGTCCATGAAGTCATTGACAATTGGACTTGAGCTGTGTAAATAGTTTGGGTCCTTGTGATTGTCGTAACCGATCGTTAAAGACTGAATACAATGGTACAAAATCATTCACAATGCCCCACTCTCATTCAACCTTTTACTTCCTTTAGAACCTGAGCACCAAATTCCTCTTTGATCATTTTATCTTTGTCTTTACGTAATCTTTTCTATTACTACTGATACTATTACTACTTTTCCTACTCTTCGATCTATCTTGAAATAATTTCATCTCACTGTGCTAATAGGGTATTCCAGACTGTACGTTACGTATAACTGACTGACTTGTTATTCACTGTATCTCTGGTCGAAGAACACATGAACTAACTAGACGATTAACATTTTCGATTGTAATCAAATTCGGTCAAAACATGATTAATCTGATCAACAAGATACATTTTAAGCTTTTCACTTATTCTTACTTTAAAAAGCTTAATCACTAAGTTAATGTCTAATTCATATTAGATCGATCTTTTGTTTCTATTTTGTAAAAAGAATTGAATCATCATTCAGAAAGGGCTCTCTGTCTCGTGAATATACTTTGATCAATGCGTTAACTTAATACACGGCGATGGATCTCGGTTTCCAGTGTAGACATCAAATATGAGTTTACTACCAGTTAATAAGTCACACACACACTACCAGGATTCCACTGATCCAGCCATTGTTCCTAAAATTCTTATAAAAATCATATGATTGCTAGTGAAAAGATTTGTGGCGATACTTGAATTTGTAGCTTACATCACGAACTGAATTTAGCTATCCAGTCCTCCCAAGTTATATAAGTCTGACGGGTTACATAATTCACTCTATATGTGTGTAACTATTACACTAAATTTGACCAGTGCTTTCAGTTCTCTTCTTTTTTTCGTCCGAAATTCCAACCTTTCAGCTTATCCTACTGGAGGTGCCGCATATACCACTTTTCCTAATCTACATCATCAAGCTTTATCAATGCCTGTTCAACAGAAAGAGGGTACGAGGGAACTGATATTAACAGGTAAATTTATAGGTATTATTATTGTCACTGCTCAATTGATTGAATTCACATAAAGTTGATGAGATCAATAGTTTGAAAGGAACAGATCTTAATTGTAGGACCTCTTCCGAACTAATCGTTCACCTTAATACTATATAATTCGCTCAGCTCCTAAACATTCTGGACGAGATTATGATTACATTTACTTACTTGTAATTATGTCAAAGACTTATGTTCTTGAGATCAAAGTCATTGATTATTGAGCTGAGTGTTATGGGCAAGTCTATACTACTAGGTTGTAGTCTTCACGATGATTATAAACAGTGTTTAGAGACGTTGAGTAGTATGCCTCAGAATCAGTTTTAATGGCGCAGATGCATTCACTTTCTGTCTTTACTTAGATCTTTATCTTTGAAATTACCTCATAATTATTCTGTTTATTTATTCGTCACTGGAATAGTTTATTTTTTAGATGATGTTGGCTTTTCCTTCTTTCATCATTTGGTTTGCATAGAATTGACTGATGAGGTTTTGTTGATTTGTGTGCTACACCTACCCCAAACGGCTTCATCACCCTCGTAATTTCTGATACCCTTAACATATGGTTGGATGATTCGTTTGTTGGTTTCTGTACTTGATTTCGTTTTTACTGATGAATTGGGTTGATATTGTTCGATGAAGTTGCGTGGGTAGTCATTCTTTTCAAGGATAGTCCCTGGATATATTTTGTCATTTTTCCTCGCTGCAAGTGTGACGTAGTGTTTTCTCATCCTCCATTATGGAATAACATCAAATATATGAAAATATCTTTAGAACATGATTATTATTTGAGTAAGAGTGCTCGCTGAATTTTTACGTAACCACGGCGTTTTATGTTCATTCTTTAGCGAATTCTTTATGCTATGAAGTTATTTCTTGTTGTTTGTTGTCTTATTTATGTTTATCGTACAGGTCCTGAAGGATGTAATCTATTCATTTATCATTTACCACAAGAATTCGGTGATAATGAATTAGCTCAAATGTTTATGCCATTTGGTACAGTGATCAGCGCTAAAGTTTATGTTGATCGAGCTACTAATCAAAGCAAGTGTTTCGGTAAGCTCTTAGCCATCTATCATTAACGAGTACTCATTTTTCTGGTCAATCTGTTTATCTGCTAGGGATTTTATTGAAAAATAACTGTGACTGTTGAAGTCGTATGTTTTTTCGTAAAAATATACAGTCATATATGGACATGAGATGTTAACAGGATACATATGGTTACATAATTGTGTAATAGTCTGTTTGACGATATGGTTCGTCTATCAAATGCTTGGCTTTGAGACAAATTTTATGTTCGGTTGCACCTACCGAAGTAGGATGAGTCTCCATTCTAAGACAATTTTTTAGGTATCTGAAAGCGAAACTAAGGCAGTAATGGTCTTTGAGACCTGGGAGTATGATAGCTGACCTTCCTAGTGTGTTAGAGGACCTAAAGGAAGAAGTGTCCATATGAACGTAGTTCGATTTAGTCATCGTAATCTGCAAACTCGACCATCGCGTCAGAGGTACAGCAGCTACAGTCGAGAATTGGTCACTTTGTTATTGGAAGATTTGACTGTTAACCGATCAGTAAGTCACAACTTAGAACCTGGTATGTATGTACATCGGTTCCAGTTGCTGTATCCCATTAACATAAAGAGATGACGTTTTCAGGTCAAATCACAGAATAGTTGAAGTAGTAACATTATCAGTGATGACAGAAAAGATTGGTTTCAAAGATACTATTGGAGAAGAAAATATAAATTAATGAAATAAAAAGGTGGGGAATTCAGATGCTTATAATTTGGAGTACGACAAAGAATACTTACACCTACACTACTGAAGACGACTTTGAACGATGTTTTTCAAAGTCTCTAACCATTGTTTATGATAATCATTCAGAGTTCAACCAAGTACTCTGCACCTATCAATATGGGTAAGTCCGAGTGTCATTGGTTTAATGAACTGATGCCGTGTTTTGGCTTGACTTCCTCTGAATTTCTTTCAGCCTACTCATTTATCAAACTGCATCTTCTGTCGAGGTAGATGGTGGTTGGGCATTCATGACACATGTCTAAACCATCACACTTGATGAACACTCACTACTTCACCAATCAATTTGCCATCCTTAGTTAATACTCTATTCCTAACCTGAACATTGTTTAGTCGGTAGTCACAAAATACACCAGGAATTCTTCGAAAATATCTGCGATCGAATACTAATAACTTGCGCATAATCTTTGATTCTTATTGGCCATGTTTCACACATAAATTAGAACGGAGCGAACTGATGCTCAGTAATCTCTTTGGTTGGAAGACGGATATATCACTTTTCCCACAAGTGACACAATTAGGCCAAAATCAATCGAGCCTTATGAATCCTTGCCAAGATTTCGTCAGTCACCAGAGCGTTGGGACTGATGAGACTCCCGAAATAAGTAAAGCAGAAGATGACTCCAACTATTTCAATTCCCATTGTTAGTTCAGGCGATAGCACAAACCAATCCTTAGGCATCATTTTGCATTTGTATGCAGAGAACCATATCTCAAATGTGCTTGCATTATTGATTTAGTTGATTAGATCATTTAACCAGTAAATCACTGTTTCAATGTGTTATAACTTGTGGATCGGCGTGTCCTGTCATTGTATAACGCAACGACACCAACCAGAGAGCAGCGAATTATCGATCGAACCAGTGACGCACAAAACAAGTACGAGCGACCTAGAGTCCTGATTGGCTCTGCTTCCCTGTCTAGCCCAGCCAGTTGAGTTCAGAACACCAATCTCAGCCTCTGCAATATGAACCATGTATTTCAAACACACTGAGTTTATATACCAATCAAACAGACCACAACGTACCATAAAATATGAAAATAACATTTGTACAAAATATGGCCAAATGTGGCTGTGAATAAGGGAGGTAGTGATTAACGGACAGGGATTAATTCAAGAATGGTAAATCGTATAATAATAGTTCATAGGTGAAAATAAAGTTCATAGTAAGAGGGGCATGAATATGAATAGTTTAGTTACATAACAATTACACGATAAAAATATACTCATAGTAATGGCCCATAAATCGATCCCAAGAATTACCATTCATTATTCTTATCGGAATATAACACAATGTACTTGCCAATCTTTGATCATATTTTAGCAAACTTTGGTTGGTTATCTCAAAGAATCTAGGGTGAGGAAGCCTTAAGGTAAATTTCAATTTTTTAATTGAAGATTTTATTTGAGTAGGTCAGATTCACAATGGTTTACCGATCAAACAATGGGTTTACTGTGCAGTAATTCGTTCCATCCTACTTCATGGCAGTGAAACATGGCCGGTAAGAGTAGAGGATATTCGATCATAGGTGTCTCGTCCATCCCGGGACCACTGAGTAAGTAATGCAGTTGTCAGGAAACGGGTACTAGGTAAGGATGAAGAAGTGAAACTTCATCAGTTAAGATGGCTAGGACACATGTTACGTATGCCCAACCACTGACTGCGACGACGTGTGGTATTTTGTGGTGTAGTAGTAGGTTGGGAGAAAGCTAGGGACGGCCAGACCAAAACGTGGTACAAATCCATGAAGTCATTGACAAGTGGACTGAGTCATGTTGGTAGGTGTAGACTACTTGGTTGAACTCTGAATGATTATCATAAACAATGTTCAGAGACTTTGAAAAACATCGTTCAAAGTCGTCTTCAGTAGTGTAGGTGTAAGTATTCTTTGTCGTACTCCAAATTATAAGCATCTGAATTCCCCACCTTTTTATTTCATTAATTTATATTTTCTTCTCCAATAGTATCTTTGAAACCAATCTTTTCTGTCACCACTGATAATGTTACTACTTCAACTATTCTGTGATTTGGCAACCGATGGTTAGAGACCTTGAATGACATGGCTCAAAATCGTTTGCAATAGCGCAGGTGCATACAATCTTTGTGTTCTCTCAAATTCTAATCTCCTGAATCCTTCTTGTCTCTTTTTTTTTCTTTCCAAATTTATTTCCCTGGATTATACTTCTTGGTTAACATCTTCAAACCCTAATGTTTCTGATTACTGCTTATACTCTTACTACCTCTACCAGTATGAGATTTGAATCGAAAACTGCATCTCTGTGCTAATCTGGTATGGCTATTCGAAGTGATGTTCGTATGTACGAAGTTCTACGTTGTTGCTGACTGACTGAAATTCACATTGTATACATTCATCTTGGAATACACAATATAGATGCAATGATTCCATATAATTTTGCTGTATATCATAATTTGAGTAATCTTCAATTGAATTTTTTTTTTTACTTCAAATTTAGGTTTTGTCAGTTTTGATAATCATACAAGTGCTCAAAATGCAATTCAAGCAATGAATGGTTTTCAAATTGGTATGAAACGATTGAAAGTACAATTGAAGCGTCCTAAAGGTTAGTAGTTAATTAAAGTTTTGTGATTCCATTTGATTGAAAGGAAAATATAAAGATTATACATTTTTCTTATTAATGAATTCCCTTTTATGTTCATGTAATTGGTTTATCTCTATTTGTTAAACAAAGTCACATCAATAGAAGACTGTTAATTGTTATCTTAATCTGACTTACAAAGCATTTTATATTACTTATGTCTACTTATATGATCTTTCAGTAATAAATTTCATCATTGTAACTTTTTTTTGTTGAAAAATAATGTTGACATTTATTCCAAAATCCCATTGTTCTTCATTTATACTAACATGTATACATTGTTAGGCGGTAACACTTCATCAACATCATCATCGTCAAATACAAAATCTTCTCGTGATACTACTACTACTACGCATACTGGACAAAGACAAGACGGTGATTTATCTCTTCCTTCACAGGATTCTATATACTCTGAGGTAAATGTTACGACAAACATAGACGTACACACACACACATTCGCTCTGAGCTGACCATTAATTAATGTTGATCTAATCTTATTATCGGCTGAAACTTGATTGTACATATGTGTGTGCGTGTGCGTGTGCAACTATTAATTGTATTCTTGTATGTCGATATATGTGTTGTCGTCAACTTGATAAGAATATCGTGTCAGTGTATATATTTGTTTATTTATCTATCACTGTCTACTACATATTTATATATCTATCTGTCAATCTGTCTTTCCATCTAATTTATTATATTTGTCATTGTCAAGTTAATTAATTAATTAATTAATTAATTCTCATTCCTAGTTGTATGGATACATCATCATGTTTATTTGCTAATTTGTTTCTATGTTTATTGATATTTAATGAACTTGCATAACAACAAAGTGGCTATAATTGATCTCAAAAACTTTTTTTTTCTATTGTGTACAAGTGTCTATTAAGTGTTTATTTTCAATATGACAAATTTGATAGGGTATCAATAAATGAAGAAGTAGGACAGATAGATAGATAGATAGATAGATGGGTACAGTAAACAAATCTTAATATCAGAAAAGGTTTTTGTAGATATTATAATAGTTGAGATTATGAGTTCATTGAAGCTGTAGACCCAGTGTGATGGAAAATTTGGAAGCATTGGACGGCTGTTTCGTCTTATTGTGCGCATCTACAAGAATCAAACTTTAACGGACATGTAAATTCTAATTGGGAAGATCTTTGGATTTTGTTTTTGTTTAGTCTTCATATGTTTGATGGAGTCGGAGCAGTTAGTTAGTAGATGTTATTAGTGATAATCTAAAATGTCATTTTTAGCTTGATAAAAAGTCAAATGTACATAAGCTTTAGTACTTAGGCATCAAAATTATATTAAATATAACTGTAATTATTGTTACATTTATTGTGCATTTTTATGGGGTTTTGTTCTCTGAGCTAGATGATTTGGTCGTGGAGCTTTCATCTTTCTTCTGAACGACATTATCAGCAGCATAAACTTTAGGTAGAAGTGAAGTGTTGGAATTTCTCCATATGTGGTTCACAGTTTGTTCTGTACAACTCGATGTAGATTGGTTCTTGTTGACCATAAACATGTCATTGTTTACTTGTTTGTTTTAATTGTGTCTTCCATAGAACACTTCACTTCTGCCTGAAGTTTGTGCTGATGATGTCGTTCAGAAGAACGATGAAAGCTCCACGACTAAAACATCCAGTTCAGAGAATAAAACTCCATAAAAATCATCTACCTGAACTACAAATCTTCACCATCTCAAGTGTACATTTTTATCACAAGTGGATTACTTCATTGATTTCATGATAATTTAATCCCGTTGGATCATATAGTCAATGTGTAGTGTCAGCCTAGTATCAAAACCTCTTAATTACTCTTAATAAATCAGTTTTATAATGTGAATTTCACTACTGGACGTTTGAAGGTCTCCGTATTTATGATCTTATAATTATTACTACATTTCTAAATACTAAATGAATGAATTAGTGTTCCATTTTTTTCTTCATTTTCCCTCCTTCTTATCAATATCACTGAAGGTTCTTGTGCTCTAGAGGGTCTTGTTTATAAAAGGTTGAGTTTCAGAAAATTAACCAAATGATTAGCACAATTTCACATTATATCTTATTTGTTGTAATCACTGGAACCGATGGAAGTGTTCCCTTTTTAAGATTATTGCAATCTTTTCCCATAAAAATTAGATGAGTTATCGTTGTTTGTCCGACAGTGTCAGTGTTTAGTACTTTCTTTTTGAAATATTTTAGCAAATGTAAAAAGTGATCAGGTGAAAACATTCATGTCAAGTTGGTAATGCGTAGTGTATGCATGTGTGTGTGTGTGTTTAGTTGTGTACATCACCAGCTTATAATTTGAGCGTTCAATGCAATAGATACACGGAAATATTCTATTTATAACATGTTCATCTATGGAGTGTCGGCTAACCAGTTAAAATATCTAACTTCACTTTATTAAGTTCCAGTCGGAATGCACACTGAAAACCTCTCGGTACAAAAACAATCTAAATCCTAATGACATTCTTATTATTACGTAATATGTCCTAGCGACAATCATTTATCGTGTTACATATGTGTCGTTTCAGTTAGAGATGAAGATTTTGTTTTTTGTTTCTTTCTTTCGTTTATTGTTGTTGTTAGTCCATTTTTCATTTGATTACTGGTTCATGAAAAAAAAACAATCTTGGGATCTTCCGTTTTTTGTGTGCTCGTTTTATGTGAACTTTTCTTATCTGACTCGATTTGGCCCCTAAATATCTTCCTTATGTAATACATATCTATCTATTTATCTGTTCTCTCGACTGAATACCAATAATGTTGATGTATTATAATGGGGCTTATTATGATAAGTCCCTAAATTTTCACCCTTCTGAACTGCTTTGAAAGATTGACACCATACTATGGGTGTAATTGGTGGTAAGGAGAATTTGAATTGATATATGACTCAGAATCAAACACGGTGGCTCAATTCTTTCTATTTTAATGTCCGAATAACGCTAGTGGGAGTTGTGGTATGTAATGTATATAGATGCGTGGTTTATGGTTTGTCCGTAAAATCACTATCATCACCTACTAAGTGTTTCTTTATCATATTTATATAGATGGGATTTCATGCTGATGAGTAACCATTAAGAAAACTGTTAATCCCCTATCGGTTTATAACATTTCACCACTATCAGACGAAGTTGTTCAATGATTACCATTTGTTGAAAGGTTGACGAAACATTTTCCCGTTCAAATTTCTGATAACAGTTTATAAAATGAAGTTAATGAGATTATCCAGAAGCTAATTTTCGTCACGCTTCAATATCAACTGAGAGAGGTCGGAAATTATTAAAAAATAAGAGATCAGTAGATGACAGCTAACCGTATGGAGCTCTTCAACTGTTGTACCTTATCAACGAGAATGTTTTCTTATTATTATTAATCTAAAATCTTATACTTCCATACTGAAATAAAACAGCTGTCCAGTACTTCCTAAGTCATATTATAACCTCGATCAAATTGTTGATGAAGATGTGAATGACATAACTCATAATCGATCACAGTGTCACAAATTCCGTTATCCTATTTATCCTTTCTCTAGTAGTAGTTATATTAAAAGTCTCACTACCACGTTCTCCATATTCTTTAGTCTTTCTCAGTGTTACTTTGAGCGAACTTATCTAAACTTGTTTTCATATTCATTTGATCAGTTTTATCTTATTCAAGCTAATTTCGTTAGGTTGCTTTTTATGCCATACTCCTCCCCAAATTGATTATAATAACTAGTTGACTAGGAAAAAATTTTCATTCGTTTTTGTAAATTATTACCATAGAAATGTGAATAAAAGTAAAAATAAATGTAACGTCATATTTATTGATTTTTTATAAAAAGAAAAAAAAGAAATACACTAACAACATAAAAGTTTGGACACACCCCTTTTTCTGTTCATACAGATTAGGCTTCATTTATTGAAATCATGCTTAGTTCCAGTTTACGTCAAATAAGTTCGGTTGAAGACTAATCTGCTCGCCACGTGAACAACTGATGAATATCACGTAGTGTTTAACGAAAATGTAACATCCACTTTTAGCTTACAATCTATATATATATATATATAAACAATTAATGCAGATGCTAATAGACATGTTTGATCACGTTTTTATTCACTGGTTACTACGACCAATACTGCTTAAATGTTGCATGTGTTTACTCCCTGTCTAAACGTTTTTTCTTTATTTGTTTGCATGTCTTTACATGTCATTTAATGATCAATTTGATAATGACGCTCTGCGTCATTTCTATTGGTGATGGTGATAATAATTTTGTTACTGCTGTGAACAATCAATAAAATTATTATGTTTCTATCAACCATAAAGTTCACACTATTGTTTGTTATATGATAAGTGTCATCTTTTACAATCATACTCCAACAAATATATTTTGTTGCCTTTTTTTATCATGTTCATGCTATATCTTTGTTTTCGGTGTTCTTTTTTTCTTTCTTGTAGATAGTCGTAAGCCCTACTGAAACAGTCTCGGTCGCTCCGGTACCTGCTTTATGAGGTGTATGTAATGGATTGTTCCTCCCTCCTTTTGCTCTGTTCTTCTATTCCTGAAAAATCTCAACAACACAGGTTAACTACATTTTTGTTGTTATACTCTCTTCTAATTGATACTATTCATCTGCCGGCTTCTATCTTGAATCGTATGATGGTAACTACGTGTGTCAATCTATGTTATGGCTCTATTCTTTTCATATGCTCAAATTTCTGCTCCTCCTAAATTATTTTTGCTAACTTCTGGAGTGCACACATTTATCTCTCTCTGCGTCGCCCCCTATTCTTTAGCATTATTCTTCACCATTTAATCTATTGTATGGTCTATTTTTATTATTACTAGGCGGTCAGTTTAAAAAATGTGTTTATCTAGATTCCTCTTTATTTTTAGTTTCCTGAAAGAGAATCAAATTGAATTTTCTTCTCCGTTTTTCCTTGCTTTGATGTTGTACTTTGTCTCCCTCTCTGTATGTGTGTGTCGGGTGTCTCTCCCTACTCAGTTCGATTAATCTCTGCAATACAATAAATACAAATAAACAGAAACAAATACAGAATTTTGATGGAAAAAAACACCCTGATACATTCAATATGGCATTGTAGCGAAATAAGAGCCACTCTCCATTCACAGTATACATTTCAATGGGTCTTGTTCATTGACCATGTACTATTTTCACTGATTCATTTTAATAATACACAGGAATATTAATTGAAAGTATGCGTAACGAAAAAAGAGGGAGAAAGTCGCATTATTATTATTTTTATTATCATTATTATTATTATTATCCCATCATTAAGATGACTGTTTATGTATTGTTTTATTGTATGCAGCCTCAGTGTTGTTTCTATGGTTGTTGTCGTCATATGAGGAGGTGCTTTTTCTTTTTTCTTGCTTTTTCTCCATCTTTCACGTTTTTCTTTCTTTTCGTCTTTGAATATATTTTGTTATAATGATTGGTGGTTTGTTTGGCTCTCATTCTTTCTGTCGGGAAATGATAATTGTATTCTGCTCATTCCTTCGATTTTCACTGAGACAAAATAGGGAGAGGGAGAGGGAGACACACACACACAGGTATATGCATATTTTTACATGATGAATGAATTGTCCATAAATAACAGATTTTTCTTAATTATCTTTGTTGTAAATGACCTATTGTCGTCATCACTACTGTTGTAGAGTTGTTGTGTTACTTTTGTGCATTACTGAGTATTTTGTTTTGTTTGTTGATAAAACACTTTTTTTTCCATATGGCATATCGTTTCATTATGATTGAATATTTTTTCAAGAGAAAAAAAAACAAACAATTTAAACATTCCGCTTACTGTGGTTATTTGTCTCTCTCGACGAGTTGGTTCTCTCTCTCTCTTCAACGATCCATGTTGCATTCGTTCATATTTGTGTTCGTCACGAGTTCCATTTGCATTTTTAACATTTTCCATATATATTATCGCTAATAATGATGTGTATGAGCTCTGGCACGTTCATTGAATATAATCACAATAGCAATTCTATTTCATATAGTACGTTTATAATTGATAGTATCCATTTTGGTTACTTATCCATCCATTCATCATTATTATTATCATTATCTACTTAAATGATCTATTTTAATGATGAATAAATAGCAAGTTGATTATCATTAGTATCATTGCAAAAAGAAAAAAGAAGAAAAACAGAGAGCATACACAACAAATGAAGAAACTAGATTGTTTTCGACGATTTTTCTCCTTTTCTTTTTTGATGACCAGTTATTTACCTCCATTATATATTATATACATTATTCTTTCAATATATTTTTTAAAAACATAATTTTCATCCATTTGTCTTTGCTACATACATTCCTTTAATTCACTTATAGAAATGGAACACATTTTGTGAAATGATTTTTTTGTTCATACTCATGTATAACGCTTTCTACACATCGACTACGATTGTTACAATAACGGTAGAGGAGAAATAAAAGAAGGTTATTTACAAGCTGAAGTCCTACTGTTGTTGTTGGTGGTGATGGTGACGGTGTTTCTTATTGTTGGTAAAAACCATAGACATATTTCTCTTATTTTTCTATACCATTATATACTACTGATAAGCAAATTGTTGTTGTTTTCCTTCACACACACACTCTCCATGTTTTACTATCCACATACCCTTATCCTTTCATTCACATGGTTATCTGATCCACACACTTCAAAATACACAGAGACAAACTTAGAGAAAATCTTAATTTCACTCCCAAAGAAAGTAGACGAGACATTATGATATACAGCGCAATACAACATAACAGACAAGTGGAAGCTTCAGAGGAACTAAGCAAAATGAATGCATTTAAATTTATTTTTGTGCTGTAATTTACTAGGGTTTTTTGTTGTTACCGATGATTATGTTGATGAGACCGCATGATTTACATCTATACCTCTTTACTTCTCTTCTAATGAATATATATAAATGCGATTGTGCTGTTTTCCTGTATGCGTATAACTGATTATGTGGTTGAGATTTTAAAGTGTGTGTGTGTGTGTGTGTGTGTGTGTGTGTGGAATGATCGGATATACGTTGAACAGTGATATACTGGTCAATAATGATATTAGATTTACCGGTTTCTTTTTCATAGATATATCTTCATAATCCGTCTATTCAACCCGCAAATCGATAAATAAATAATTAAATGGGTGTGGATACACTATGATATATGCAGAAATAAGATTGTTCTTTACACATACACACAGTGGTACTTCGTTCTCAGTTTTGGAGAAAATACACACCACTACTGTCTCCGTTTCTTGTTTCCCCTCTTAGGCGTTTTTTTATTACTACATATTAGTAAGTTTTGCTCTCCCTATCCGATTCTATCATTTTTATTACCATGATGAATATGTAGTGTATAATGTTATATGCCTCTCATTTTTACAATTTCTATGATTCTTATGTTGAACACACTTTAGAATAAATACACATGAATACAATTTTCCAATACATCATTTACAAGCAAACTGTACGTGATAATGTTAATTATAATACTAACACTACTATGACTATTAATGATGATGATAATAATACTAATAATTCTTTACAATAAACGTGTTCTTTTTCTTCTCTCCGATTGGCATTGTCGAAGTGTATAACTACACATAATTGTATAGATGGAATAATGGAGTAATGTTAGGAATGTTAACTTACTGATTAAAACAGTTGATTTTCAATGAAAGACGTTCTGGATCTAAACTTTCTTGCTTTGTCTACGTTGATAAGATAATAGAATTAGGTCCCGAATTTAAGGAGTGTTTTGGCTTAAGTCTCTAAGGACATGAAGTTAGTACTTTGTAAATGACTTACGGTAATGTAAATGATTTGGCGACTCTGGATGACATGGCTCAGAATCGATCACAATGGAGTAGGTGTATACACTCTCTGTTTTCCTTTAAACGAAGAGATTAAAATCGTTTCACATCCTTCATTCTAGGTACTAAATCTTTCTTCCTGTACTATATCTTTATATGCAATCTTTGTTTTATATATTACCACCATTGAAGTAACTACTTTCGTGAATCCGGTGTTGATCTTGTTGTGTTAGTGAGGTATAGCAAGTTGGACCGATGCATATTTGTGCCTGGTCCTACGTTGTCGCTGACTGACTGAATGTAAATGATGTAACTTTGATGCTAAAATGAGGCTATAACAAGTAAATACCGACAGGCCCCCAAATGCCCTTGTACGGCCGAGAGTGGGGAGAGTCAACTCTCCCTCTCGAAATGCTCTCACATGGCCACGCGTATATAGCCTCTACCACGGAAGTCCTACTCACTTCCTTCCCGTGGCACTATTGTTGTTTACGAAATTGAGAGGAGGAAAAGTGAATGTCCGGCGCTTTAACCTGCTTGGTGGGCATGGAGAGTTTACCTAGGGGAGTTGGAAAACCCTGATTCCAAACCAATTCTCCACATGGGCTCCAGGATCCTGGGGGAACAAATTGCGTATGAACCAATCGTTGGTCACCGGCTTGCATGGGACTGTATCTCCTTAAGTTGCTCCACTGGCTTGTGGATTAGACCTTCATGTCGAAGGCTTCGGGTGTGCCCCCCTAAGAAAACCACTTGTCTCGGTTTGGACACTCGGGTAGTATCGCAGCCCTCACACAAATTAAATGAGATTTGTGTGACGCAAATGTATTTGGTGCCTCATTGTACCAATATCTATTTGTTTTGTTGAGGAGTGCTAAGTAGGGAAGATGTATTAAATTGTTCATAAATGAGTAGGCAGATTTGAATATGAAATTTAAACCGAGGTTGGTTTTAACTTATCCTTATAATCAATAAGGAGCTTTGTGAATGTTGCGTTCATGAGTCAATTGAAGCTAGACAAGCATAGGGAATCTGGAAGCACTGTCGTGGGACTCCTCATCAGTGCACGTCCACGATCGTTGAATACCGGCTCCGTGGTCTAGAGGTTAAGCATTCGCCCGCGAGAGTGATAGGTCCTAGGTTCGAATAGTAGATGAAGACTGCTGAGGAGTCCCACACTAGGACGAAACGGCCGTCCAGTACTTCCAGGTTTCCCATGGTGGGTTAGCTTCAATCTCAACTACTAATATTAAATTATCCTTATAAACTAACATCACTAATTGATAAGACAGTAAAGTTAATGATAATAAAATGACTAAAGTGTATTCATTCGCTTTTCCTGTGTGAAAAATAATAATAAAATTCTTTTGGATGATAGTCACATCGTCACTTATTTGGGTAGATAAACCAAAATTTTAACTCGTTAATACTTCTGTTTCCGTACAGAATTATCGGTACCATATAATGAAACGGGAAGAAAGTTGAATTCTTCATGTTTTTATTTAAGTAATTTGAGGACAATCAGTAGGAGTCATCCTTGATGTTGTCACTCGTCAAGAAGATATGATCTGTGATATTGAAGAAACTAGTCGTCTCTGTTGGATTCGAACCCAGTGTCTTAGCCACATTTCATATAAGTCTTGCTAATGATTCGCATCTAGATGAAATGTGGTTCACTTAACGTTCTCTAATTATTCAACACTAATGTATAGTTTACTCCATGTTGTTACTTCAGTTAGTGAACTAGATAACTAGTAGATAAATAACATTCAATCATCTCAAAAGAATAGACAAACGTGCCATTGGTCACCGCTCAGTGATTAGTCAATGTCTAGTTCTTCCCATTTATCTTCAATAGTAGCTCTTAACTTGGCTGCTATTAACAAAATCACATTTTATTCCCAGTTTCGACATAAATAGACATTGATTTATTCATTCATTTCTCTGTGATTTTTAATCACTAACCAATTAGTATTGTACACTCTTCTGAACAGGCTGTCATCTTGAAAGTCTCACAATTTTAATGTAGCTAAGATATTCTAATGTGATTGTAAATATGAACCTGACTAAGTGAATATTTAATGTACACCGTGTGAATAATCCAATATAACATCTGTTAATAAAGTGTTAGGTTAAACTATATATCAATTATCTATTCAACTGTATTAACTCTTCCTGGAGCCCTTCTTGGGATACTGCCGGTCGCAAGCCCAGGTGAAGGAGGAGGGTTGGGCATGAGGTTACCGAACCCATCCCATAGAAAGCTAACTCGTTAAAAAAAACCAGAAAATAATTTTCAACTGTACTAATATAAGAGAGTTAAGATAATGTTTTAACAAATTCAGTTCTGAGAACCATTGGATGGTGTTACTAGTCTTCATAATCAAGCACTGTAACTCCAAAAAAGCCACATCAACTAACACTTATGTTTGGTATATGATTTAAAACAATAAATAACTGTATTACTTCTAAACAGATGAAACAATACAGTATGGATAGGCGCAAAGTCATTTCTTTTACAATAGTTAGTCAGTGATCTGAAAGTTAAGTACACGCCGTTAGACTTGAAGATCAAGGGATAGATCCCTGATGAGGTCATGGATACGCACTATATGAGGTGCTTGTGCTAAAACCGAATAGCTGGCCAGTACTTCCGTGTTTCCAGTGATTGCCTGACTTAAAACAAACTGAACAATTCAACAATATAAATTCCTATGCTAATAGTAATGATATATATATTGGGCACTGATTTTTGAGAGATAATTCCCCGAGCTCTAATAAAAATTCGTAATATTCAGAATTGATTGAATTGAAGTATACAAACCAATAGTTGATATCTCAATGGTCTATAGGTTAAGCGCAACTCTCGAGACTTGATCTCGGTCCCTGGTGGGATCATAATTGATCACTTTTTTATGAATCCCATACTATGGTTATCTAATTAAGATCAATTCACAATCTATACCTATAAAGATAATCAGGAATTACAATTTAAACAGAATAACATGGATTTGGTCCAGTTCTCACCTTGATTGATTAAGAATCTTAATTTTCCATTATCATAACAACCAATGGCAGTAACTATGATACTGTCCGGAAGTGAATGTTAAAAACGATTTTTATTACAATAACATAACACACAAATGATCCAAATAAGAAAAAGTGAAATAGGAAAGTTTAATGAATTAGTTTCCATGTCCTTTTTCTTTCTCTCTTTCTAAAAGAGGATCTCGTTAAACAGTTGGTGTCGTAGCATTCCTTTTTTTATTTAAAAAAATGTTCCCCTAATTATTATCATTATTATTATCTCATATCCTTTATATGTTACAGCCAATAAACCATAAATCGATCGATCGATCGATCAACCTTGAATCAAAAACGTCCCAGTTATGTGACTTTTGAGTTTTTTTCCAGAATATATGACCTTGGACTGTTTTTTTCCATCCAATCACATGAATTACAACTGTGATTACAGCATAAGGTGTTTGTGACCATACTTCTGATATTCTGATTGGTGGTTTAAGAATGTGGGAGTTTGTGTGGATTATTGATCGTATGATGAAGATGTCTAATGAGGTCAGTAGATTTATCGTTGATTATACACCTTGGAGAAAAGCACGAATAATGCGAAAACAATCCATTACACTTGATACATATTGACTGTATCCTTAAAAGCAGATTTTACGGTGAGACTATAATTTATAGACGACCTTTGAGCGACTCTGTAGTGACTTTGAGAGTGTCCACCTAATAACTAAGACCAAATGAAGGTTATAAATTAGTGTGAGGAATTCGAATGATGAATTACATTTAATGATTAAGATTAGGAATTAGATTTAGGTTTTCAAATCACGAACTGACATCAGCTATAATGCCAAGACTCTATTTAGCCAAATGGATGAGTGAATTTCGCGCCAAAATTCGAGACCTATTATTTTATACCTGTTTGGTTCATCTATAAATTATAGTCTCGCCGATTTTACAGCTTCGATTAGGATAACTACATAAATGGTGAAGTGTTATCTAGGTTACATACAGTAGTAGACTTAGTACTTAGATATTGCCAAGACCTGTCGTTTACAGAACATATATTAAAACAGACCTCTAAGTCTCAACGTCTAATAGGTTACACAACTCGAAACCTTTACAACAATGAGTCACGTATTTTAATGTACAAAGTTTATGTTTGACCACTTCTAGAATATTGCACGTTTATTCTTAGCAGTGCACGCAAATAGGATAAATTAAGGCTGGAATCAGTACAGAGACGATTTACACTTCGTACTCTTGCAGTTGATTATACCTTGACTTATAATTAATAAACTTGGGCTAGAGCCGTTATGGAAGAGGAGACTCAAACTAAATCTCATCTTCTTCAAACTACTTCATAAACTATCGTTTACATCCAATCACGCGATTCAATATGCAGAAACTTCTCATTATGACATCCGTAATTCTTTGGCACTAGTGAAACAAACTCATTCTAAATCATCTTTTTATATGAATTACTTTACCTATAAATTTTCTAGACTCTAGAATAATCTACCACAATCTATCCGTACGATAAAATCACTCCCATTATTTGTTCACTGCATCGATGCATACTGCTCCTCTGAAAATGCATTGAACGTTCTAGCACCTGTGAGTGTATCTCATTCCACAAGTAGTATTATAGGAACTTTAGATGTTTAGCCATTAGTGAATTACCTAAGCAAAACCACCTACTTGTTGGC